ATACATTTGTGCAATGCCTGCAGTTAACTAAGCCAACAACGACTATAACGACTGTGGTCACTAGTCACATACGGTATCACCTGTTCATTAACCTGCAGTCAGGTGACTCAATACTATTTTGAGACATCCCCTTCCTCCCCGCATTTGCTTGCTTAAACGTCTCGTTCTCCCCGCTGCCGTACTGAGTCTCAAAATAAGAAATGCGTAGTAGTATAATAGATGCAGCAGCATGTTTCCGCAGCAGGTGAAGTGGTAGCATCGTTTACATATTTATTGAGTAAATAATATTGCTTTCTTCTGCTCATTATGATTTATTTCATGTATAATGATATCGATATATAGGGCTGATTGAGCATCGTATACATTACGCGGGTTTCATTTGAATTGTTGTACCATGTTTCTCATAACATGCGATAACTTTCTAGTACTATTCATTGAGGTATTATATGGATTTTCATTTCCATATGAAAGTATCGACCTTAGATGTGCACTAAAACCACTCTGGTGAAGGCTTTGAATAGAGGATTCATATTGAATTAGATATAAGATAGAGGACCTAGAAACCTAACTTGTTCGCATAGTTGATAATGTTTTAGATAAAGTCATGTACAAAACTGCAATGGTTTTACAAGAAACATGAACATCGACAAGAGAACGTTAATTATGATTACCTGATTACTTGATTACTTGATTAATATTCAAGTTACAAGTTCACAAGAAAATTTTCTTTTAAGATCTGTGAGCAGCACTCGAATATTTTTTTATTTGAAAAACACTCTATAAAATCTTACGTTACTTTAAAATATCTAATTTCGATATATCTATAAAGCTAACATGGCTATATACTGCCACAAGCAATCCTTTTTTCTAACAATTAGACTTCGCTGTGTTTTATCGGTCCTGAAAACAGATCACTCGCTATAACAAATATCGATCACTGACGAAATGTAAATAAATTCGCAGCGCACTTTATTAATTAGAGTTTATCTGTTAAAGAAACGCAAAAATTACTTGTTCCATTGGAACAGTTGTTTAAATCTACTTTTATAAAAGACTTTTGTGATATCTTTACCTGTGTTTTTAACTTTACGTTAGGATGTGTCTGTATTGTTTCCACAAAGATTGTTTAACACTATAACTTCTTGTTCATGATCATGTACACTTTATGTTCCTGCAAATGTTGATGCAAATATACAGACCAGTGTTCGCACTTCAAAGACGCCCAGCTATGATGTAGATAAACACACTGAGGTTTGCTAGAGTTTACCACGAGGTCCGTAATCACGTATACAAAGATATGGTGAGTTCCAATAATTGTCGTGTTTGTATCTGACATATTTGCTGTGTATTATATATACACCAGTTCCTGTATGGAAAGTTTGATGTTACATATAACGGATGTGTATTCATGTTTACAACAAGAACGTGCAAACGTGATCTTCATTGATGTTATTTGTATACCAAGTCTATTTATCTATTGTTTACAGTGATAAATATCTTTTCTGTGGTCTGTCCCTGTCATTAGAACGATTTTGGTAACACTAACACAACGCACTGCAGTAATGCAGATCAATGTGACTGTCCAAAATGTACAATAAATCAGCAAATAACGATAGTTAACACTTTTATCAGCTAAGATAAATGTATATTTTTTGCTGCGCTTGTATTCATTTTGTTATCGAAGTATGCATTGCAGAGTAGCTTCATTAATTTGTCATAAATTAAGAAAAACATACCGTGCTGAATATATTTAATTAGACACTGACGAAGGACAAGTCCTGTTTCCTAAGTGTTTAGTACCTTGTATGACCACTGCTTTGCCCAACAAACAGCGTCGTCTCATTTAACGTGTACAGCGACGGATAATGTGAGCGGGGATGTTGTTCAATTCGTCAGTCAACGCTTGGGCCAGCCTTGTTTTTTCATTGTCCATACCCTGTTTCTCTCTTTGAGGACGTGTTACAGCGGATGTCGTCGAAGAAGCACACGCTTACCCTACCGGAACACCTGGTCTCATTCTCATCGTTGAGATTAGTGATGATTTGATACATGTTGTCCTGTTGTTATACAATGCATATGTATGATGTTAAAATTCAATCTACGTTTTATGATGATATAACGATATTGTATTATTGCAATGTGTGAGGTATGCATTGTACATTTCATATGTTCTTGTTTGATGTTGTAATACAAGTCTATCGCTGTGTAAGATAACATAACATATATATTGTACTTATTTATGAGACGAAAATATTCATATATACAATTATAAATATTAATGAGAGAGAAAATGGTGTAAGAGTTGCAATACAGATCTATATTTCAATGTATACCTACTCGTCTGTGATTAACAGTTCCCACTGTTCAATGTAATAGAGATGGTCGTCCAATAATGTGAATACATAAATCAGTACGTAAACAGCAGGACTTCTAGCTATTTGATTGGTCTGGGGTTAAAACAGCTGACCAATCGCTAGTTTGATACCTGTCCTTTGAATATTACATAGAAGCAACATCCGACTTCAAAGCCAGTCAATTTTACCGTTAAGCGGCCGACATAGTCTTTTGATGTACATCAATGGATCATAGTCTTCTCGTCTCATCAACAAGGTGTGCACACTGAACCTTCAATTTGTCATGATATATTCCAGAGGTGCAAAGAGCGAAAGTGAGCGTAACTCTTGGAGTATCGAAGATGAGAGTGTTTACGCATAACTATAAAGATTAAATAACGAGGGCCGGGTTCTTAAACATTGACAAGCGTTCTCACAAGATTTAACACGTTGTTTTTTCAAAATTATAAATATGTTAAATTAAGTTTGTAAAAAGACCAAAACGTGCGCGCATGTAATGAGTTAAAACGATCACATGCAATAATGAATAAACCCATACCTGTATTTTACAAAAAGAGTTTAGGAAGTTATCTTCGTTATGTCTCTGGTTCATTTAATACTGTGCTAACATAATTCACTACATTATTGATAAATGATACCCCATAAGTTCACAAGACTAAAAACCAAGTCAAGTTTGCTTGTTTACTAGACTGACGTATCCTCACTTGACACTGATGTATACAGAATCAAAGCTGAAATGTACATAATTAAATGTAATATAAAAGTGTATAAACAGGATTCACAATAATGCTACAAACGTAGACTATTGACCTAAAAACTGTTTCAAGATGCCGGGAACATACTTCACTAATAGCATGTCAAGAGACTTGATATTGTCCAAAAAGGTAGAAAGTAAGCATAGCATGACCTTGTCAATACGCCTTTTAAATGTAATTCAAAGGATTTATTAAAGTCCTGTTATATTTGCCTTTCCAGCGATATTAACATTATTGTATGTTGCCAGTTAGTTTATGTGATAGCGTGTTCATATCATCTTACTCTACAAACATATAGGTATACGAGACAGAGAAAACTATACCCTACTTGTGTCAATTATACCCTTGTTGATGAATTACAACAAAACGTCGTCTACATACGCTTATCTTAAACACCGTGGATACTTTAGATTGTTCAATACAATTTTTCTAACATATGTATTTTCCTTTTCTTTTCTTAAAGCACTTACTCGTGTTATCTTTTGCTTACCTTTGCTATTGTTTTTTTCTTATTGTTATTATGTTCATGCATGTAAAGAGTGATCAGAATCACATTTTGATCCACTATACGTTGTCCTTATACAATTATTGATTGTATTTTGTAGTTTGATAAAAGATGTGTTAAATGTTCTGTTTAGTATAATAATATCGTTGACTTGGTTTTGTATTTGTTTGGCCTCATCTGTGAAGAGGATTTAGTGACAATTCCTGGCATATTGGATAAAAATCAACAAATTAGAATTTGGAAGAAGATATTAGTTAACCAAATACTACTAAACCACAAACATTAACCGAATATGGTAATAGCGACTGATCATAGTGTACATTTGGTCTACTTTTCGGTTTTTTGAAAACAACAAGTGTGTGTGCGGTAGAATAGGCTCCACCTTTGCGAGTTAAGAACCTTTTTAATTTGAATGCTTCCTTTTTGTTTATTTTCTAACACCAGTTTGATTCATAAATACAAATATAAATAGCAAAGCACATTATTTGCTTTCGGTGTGTGTTGTTTTTTTAGTACTGTTGGCGCTAGGTCAAATCTGAAGTTGATGGCGATCTTCTTAACTTCAAGAATTCCTTCCAATGGCAATGTTAATGTATTTCCTGAAGTTAAGAATCATTCGTGATACTCTTGCTGGCGTATTCATTGCGGTATGTAACAAAATGCTGATGTATCATTGACATACTATCTGCCTTATTTATAACCTTTAAAACTCATATATTGCTTTTTGACAACCTTAACCTCAGTGTCAAGTGGATATTGGTTGAAAAACTACGGTTACAAGTAATAATTTACCCTACAAGTGTTAAGTGGATATGGTATATTTTTACATACCACAGGTAACCATACACATGGAATTTCATTTAGTAATAAACTACTTGATTAATGATTTGATAATTTTCCGGAATATTTGACTATCTATATGAACCGTTCTTTGTATTCCGTTGTAAAAGATCAATTTCCAAAACCTTGACTTTGACGGGAGACATTTACCAGAATTACTCGATGTGAAATATACACAGAAATCAGCTTGTTCAATACAAAATAAATGTAATAGAATGAACACACGCTTATGATTAATGGAGGGAATGCATAATGTATATACTGCGTAGTGGTTACATTTGATTTTTTTCCTGACTTATAAACAACGATTAATGCAAACAACAACACACGGAAATTACCTACTTGTAGGAATGTACTTAAGATTTGTTGATTATTGCTAATATACAAGTCTATTAAATCGAATAAGTGAGAAATTACCGTGATTTTCATTATAATAAAAGAACGTGTAAGATGATGAAAGTATTGTAGTCTGATAAACGTCTATTTGATTGTCTAGTTAGCTAGATAAATCAAAAATGAAAAAGCAATAAAATGCACATGTTCGATATATATTTTTCAAATTTATTGAACAGATTATCGATAATATTGGTCATATATAAAACCCTGTGTAGCTTATAATGTATTTGGCATATTATATCTGATCCGGTAATTAAAATATATCCGTTTCATATACATAATTTTGTTTGTAATATAATCAATTCTGCGCTATTGTCTATTGTTATGTCAGTTTGGTTGACGTCATTTCGCTTCCATAAATCCGTAATTATGAATTGAACATAAAGTTTATTCTATGCTGTCATGCAGTTTACGTCACAATATATGCGTTCATATATTTAAAATATTCAAATTTGAACATTTATGTTTTCTTCAAAAGAACCATTTTTACCGAAGACAATGACGAAAAGGCAAATCCCTCTTTATAAAAAGTGTCTTTGGTTTGTATCCATAAACTGTATACGAAATTAAATCAATCACAAAATATAACTGATATGTAATTTTGGCACTTTCCATTGGATTAATCAAATAAATTATGCACACCTTTCAACAATGCAAACGCTTCTGTCCATGAAACAGCATCACTTTTCTGTGCATACACATTACCGGTAGACATTCTCTTTCTCTCTAAAGGTGGTAAAATCCTTGGAGTTGAACTAGACGATTTTGACATCGAATGTCGTCTATGAGAAGAGTCACTTTCAGTTTGTTTATGAGAATGAGCTTTTTGCACCTTCTCGACCACGTCGAGTAGTGTTGGCATGCTGTTGTTCCTTTTCATATTCTCCTTTGGGTACGAACTTCGAACACTTGAGATATTTGGTTCCGTTTGTCTGGAGTAGTTCCTTACCCCAGAATTGTGACCGTCGGAAATTCGAAAGTTTACACGGGAAGACGACGGTTTACTGGAGTGTCTGGTCTCTAGAGGAGAGGAGAGCCCAGAATTGTCCGTGGACGGCTCGTCCAGTGACGAGGAAGGAGTGATAGGTTCGACATTATCTGTATGATTACCCAAAATGTATCCGAATTTCATCGGATACAGGACAGACGCCGCACGCATCATCGAGTCTGATATACCCTGGTCATTGCTCCTCAGAGCAACAATGTTTCTGTTCTCTTTCTTTAGGACGACTTGATCGTCCTTAACACCATGTTTTTCTGCGAGGATGTGCACTAAATCGAAAAGTTTCTTCGTACTTGTGGTATGTTGCAGCTTTATTAAATCTGCAAACGAAACAACTTGCTTTTTTGTTTTCAAAGTCTTTGTAGGTCGGCGTTTACTTTTTATGATATCAGGCAGTTTGACTGTTTTTGAGTCATCTTTTGATACCTTTCCGTCGTCATGTGTTCCAGTCGCAGAATCTCTACCGTCCTCTGTCATTGTACCGGTTATAGATTTCTCCTCTGTATCCTCTGTATCCTCCGTTATAACAGGTAGTGTGATATATGTTTTACCGTTGCAGTCCTCACCTTTCCTCAATTTCTTCACACATATTTTGGATTTCAATTTTGTGTTTTCACTATCTTCATTTACGTTTTCCCCTTCCAAAGTATCATCCTCATCACCTTCTTCCTTCTCTTTCCCTTGAATTTCCTCGCCAATGCCACTGTCTGGGGACCCCTCTTTTACAGGTACGAGCATTTCAGATGTTTGTACCACTAGTACATTGGACATATTTTTCATTGCCCTACGATCCCTCTCATAATCCTCCTTTTCCCTCTGTTTTCTTTCTCGTCGATTCTGCTGCATCCGTCCTCGGTACTTCACCATGGATTTTTTCAAACGTTTTTCCTCTCTCTGAATGTTATTAATCGTTAGCATCATGTCCTTCCGATACAGGTTAAGTTGACGCTTGTATTCGACCTCATTCCCAGCCACCCTTGTGACCGTTATCTTGTTGACCTCGCTCTGAAGTCCTGCTGCACGTGCGTACGCTGAATGTGCCATGATCACCTCCTGAAAATACAAAACAAAAGTATCCATTTTGAATTGTATTTCAATGTGATCATGTAAAATAATGAATGACAAAAGATATATGTCAAATCATGAATCAATTGTTTCTTCTTCGTCTCAAACAAAATGAGATAAAACTGGAAAACGTTCCTCTCTGGGATAAGAAACGTGATCTATATAACAAAAATAGTCAGGTTGTATTTGTGATTTGTTTTTATATATTAAAGGAAACATTTGACAATCAAATAACACAAAGTAAAAACATTTCACTTACCGAATAATTTATCTTATATTATATTAACTCCTCCGTACTAATAAGACAATGCGATTTCTTTACTATTGAAGCGACTTGTTTGAGACGTCAGTCTCTAAATAACACTTTATACTTAAAACTACTTCCATAGCATGGCACCATCGTATTCCGAATATTGGAAACGAGGAAAGTATCATTAACTGAGAACGAAATAACCGATAATAGAGGACTCAAAGAATTTTTCCGATTCCAAACCTGAAATGATCAGACGACTAGGAAAACTATCTGTGACAGGGATCCGCTAAATCAAACCACTTAATATTACTCTTCACGCAATAGCAGCCGTAAATCACTTAATATCCTAGATAACGATATCAACACATAGTTTGTGTACCTCTAAAATGTCTGAACGACGTGGGTACCTGTCGAAAGTTATCGACAAATATCCATGTGGATCTTCGTCATTATCACGTAGTTGTATGACAACATCCTGGCTCCTGTCACAATGTACACTGATTTGAACACTCGAGCAAATATACCAGCAGATGAAAGGAGGCCCTGGGTTTATTTGTCATTATAATATTAAAGGTAGGTATTCACACTAGTCTACACGTACGTCTGAAGGCCCCTTTAAACAGCCATGCAATAGTAATGAGTATGCCTAGCTGGTAAGCGTCTCTAATATTCATGTTTGAGGAGAAAGTGTATGGCGGTTGCAGTTTTCGGTCCAGTTCACACATATAGCAACCCATGCTGAAACGGGTACATTAGCATGCTAGGATAACTGTGCGGATGTAGGGATTACTTCATTAGCACAGCGTCAACATCATCAGGTCTGCTTTAGATCGATAATATTGTATTCAGAACACTTCGTCCTAATCGATCGTGATATGTAAAGAGCATGTTAAAGTGATTGATATGCTTGACTTATTACTTGGTGAAAGGCCCCTAGAGAACGTCAAAGGTAAAAGTGATTGAAGATCCTGTGCTTCCGTTTATACATGTATAAGCTTTTAAGAATACCTCCATAATCATACAACCAATTATCAGTGAAGTATTGTTTTTGAGTTTTCAGTAAGCAAAAATTGAACCAGTATGACAGAAGTATGGTCGAGTATTACCCAAGAAGACAAATGGTATACTTAGTGATATATATATAGACCCTACATATTCATTGGAAGATCCAGCTTACACCAATAAAGAAAAAATAAGTTCATAGGAATGTTTCGAAACATCTTCGTAAAAGGAAAGTCGGTCATTTTAAATCACTTGCATCGTATAAACTGGCCTCTGTCCACTCTGTTATAGACATTTTAGATAGTATATGTTTATTTACATGTACAATTCGTATTAAAGGTAAATCAAAGCTGACCAGCACAAAGTACTTATGGCACGGCACCGTTTATCTTTCCAAAACAATTGTTAAACTTTGGAAAATTTACAATGAACTGTCCTCAATAAAATACTTCAATGTCATTTAGCATGAATTATTGTTAAGTATTGATAAAAGAAAGTTATATCATTTTTAATTTCCTTTAGCTGTTTGTTGAATCGTAACGTCTATCAAATTGTAGAAGGTAAAAAAAAATACCTTTAATATACAAACAGCCAGAAGACTAGTCACAATTATGTATCGTACAATGTAAAATCTTGTAACTGTAATTCCAATGTATAAAAGGTGATACAATCTTATTACTATTTAATACTCCTTCGTCAATACATACCCCTAAGCAGAGTAATTCTTACATATATATTTGACTTGAAATCTCTCATTAATCTGCGTTTATTGCGAGAAACCCGTATATGCAATATAAAAATGTAAATTATTTGAAATCACTTCCATGTGATACTTCGTCTACTATTCATTACGCCATGCATATAACATTTTCAAACAGCAATAGAAGTTACAATCAACAACTGCAATTGATAGTGAGAAATACGGTCTATTTCTTTTTAATTTCTCTACTAATTAATTAACAAATATAAATTTAGATCGAATTACACGGATTAAACGTAAAAAACGCATAACTTTAATTCATATGCAAGGAAATATGTTCTCTAAATGCAATGAAGGGTCGATAATTAAAAGATAAATAATTATTACCTTAAACGTAATTATATAAAACATAAATATATATAAATTTAGACTTAACTGATGCCAGTGTTACTCACTGCATGTACACAGACAAAAATCAAAGAAACACTGCCTACTTCTCAATGAATGTTCGCTATGACAGGCAATATTTACTGACGAGCATACCTTAGCTACAGCAATGTCAAATGTGGCCACCACTCGCGTTGTACCGGCCCGGCACCGCTTCTTTTCAATTTCTAATATCACCATTTTGGTCGATGGTATTGATTTTAAAGATAGTACATTTTCTTCTTCCCAACAACAGTTAACTCAAAGTTTGAATAAGGAGAAAAGTATTTTCATTCTAATCCATTTTAAAGATAATGAAAAGCATCTGCTATTGTCCGTTCTTCTGTATTTATAAGCAGTTTCCGCTATTTGCAGTGAACATTTTGTCTTTGATAATTTGTAAATGTCAAACTGAATTATCAAAATAATATCCGTCCTCTACTGTTGGCTTGATACGAAACGTACGCTACTCCATTTTTATGCTTAAACATGTAGAAGACGTCTGGCAATAGCTTTTAATCATTGAGATATTTCACCAAAAGATCCTTACTTAAAAAATCGAGTGCTACAATACACTTATCTTCAAAGGACGATTGCTGTGGAAATCTCAAAATATGTATAATATCATTTGGACAAGGGTGTCCATAATATGTATTCTACTGAATTCTTCAAAACCTGTTCCCACCAGAACATTAGCTTCCACTCTTAATGTATAACCATGGACCATCACTAGGGACAATTCCCAAGCCGAGTACAAGATACACGACGATATCCGTCAAACATCCAGGCAACATACGTTCGTGCACTTAACTAAACAAAAGAAATGTCCAGTCATCATTAGTTTGTCTGCACCTTGAATCAATATATGCAGTGCAGAATTGATAAGTCATTGAAAATCAGCAAGGAAATACCCTCAGAGTATCAGGAGTAAATATCCCTCACAAAATGTTGATCCAAGCTACACATACATAATAACCAATGCCGAATTGCCATCTCTATTTATAAAAAGCTCCACGTAGCCCTCCTTCATGGTTGGTTCCGTCGGTCCGCTTCTTAAACTCTTTAGCCCAACGTGTTTGTATCAACGCGAACATTCAGGGTGATAATGTGATGAATGCAGTTTGACTGTCGAAAGGTCTCAACACCTCCTACATTACTACCGGCTCACTTGAGTCCAATAGTTTAACATAGACCCGTGATCTAACGAGTCATGCCGGTCACATCATAACCTCTCGATGTCTGGTTAGTCTGACATACGTATTACTGTAAAGATAAATTGAGTGAAAAGTTCGCGTTTATTTGTTTTAGTGAAATCAAAGTATAAATATACCATGCTAATGAGTTTTCAAAATGACCAGCTCAAGATTTAAAATTCGAAAAAAATGTATTTGTCATGATTGATGAGAAATAAATTTGACATGTCAATACTATTTAAGCTTTTCAATGTGTACTTTCGTGTTGAGACGGCTGTGGTGTCCAACCAGGTTACTCGGGGAGCAGAGAAAACCAATGTCAACAAATCAAGTATTCAAGTACCAAACACCTTAATGAAAGCATTACGTGTGGTATGTCATCTCAAATTGGACGCCTATCTCCTTGCCACCGCAAAACCAGGTAGTCTGTTTGCAAACATGGGTATTTAGTCTGAAGTCGTTTGTTTTCTTTAAGCACTTTCATTCATCCAGTGTTGGTAACCAAACACGTTAAAAACGAACGCATAATGCTGTTCCAATTAGCTAAACACACAGCGAAAAATACGAGAGGGTTGGACTTAGTGAAATTGCCAAATATTATTAATAAAGGTACTGTTTGATTTTCAACACAAGGGGGCTGTGTCTCGCCATGTCATTTCGTACGTATATAGCTGTAATATGGTACTTGAAAATAATGTATAGATATGTGTAAATGTATAGACATCAAAGAGACAAAATGAATTTGAACCAAGTACTTCGATATGTACAGGGTAAATACAATGTTCTTAGAAGTCAGTTAATTACGAGACAGGACATAGCTGTATCATAAAGATAATGGCAAAAACGGGAATCAAATACACTAAAAGTATATAGATGAAAATGAAATGTGCGTGACTCAACTCAAAAGAGACATGATGGGCAACTCAAAAGAGACATGATTCGCGTCAACGGAAATGTACATGCAAGCGTATTTTTTTCACACGGCATGGTACATACATAGGCTTACCACGAGTGAAATATACAAAATTTATTGAGTATAACTTTAACCTCGAGGGAAATTATGTCATATGGATGTTGTAAAGAGTCCTAGAATTTTCTGAATGAAATGCTGAGTTGGGCATCTATTTCACAAGAATGCAAACTGTAATGCAAGCCATTTTATTATGACATTACAATAACATCACGTCTTGTTTTATCGTGCCTCTATAATAACCCAGTTAAAAGGATTGATGTGTATATTTTAACGTATATTTTCAATAAGAAATTGCTTAGGCATTGCACAGATAGTTATCATGTCATTCTTACGATTATTAAATGAAAAAAACCCCACATATATTGGCCGTTGATCAGTAAAGATACATTGCTGATATCAAAGTGTAATAACTTCACATTCTCCGAAATCTAAATCCGACTGCATTTCGTTAATTGTGGTATGAATGAAGTAAAGCTCTGGTAGCATTTTAGCATGATAGTACAAAGATTATAGAAATGCAAATGTTTGTGTATGTTATGCATTTATTGAGTTCTTTTCATACAGGTAAGTTAAGTTTTTAATGAAATTATGGTTTGTAATGTATACATTGTTTTCAGAACCTAAAGCTAAATATATTTCACTAAATTGATTACGTCATTATATTGTCATTAACACGACAACCTATCTATAACTATCAGCATGCTTTTATTTCCTTTAAACATTAACATTAATAGAACTTTACAATAACTCATACATTACTGGTCTCATTCGTTCATTCGAGGTTTCTGTTCTTTCTGACACTGTGTAAACAATTACCAGTCTCAGTCGACTGTAAAGTATGGAAAGGCGTTTGCCTTCGTGTCAACCCCGTAATCGGGGATAACTCGTGCTGGACCTTTAAACGGTTTAGTAAAACAATGTTTTAAATACTGTTTATGACGGGGCAACAATTGGTAACATCATTGATTTTTTGGTGCCGATTCGAGTAATATGAAATAACGCAATTTTTATCTAAATTTAAGTTCGAGAATCGAAACAAATTTCCTCAATAACAACTACATTTATACAGAATAAACATAAATTTGATTTTTCCAAAGTACTGTCAGAGTGACCACACGTCAAATACTTACCTTGTTCAAAGCAGCTTTCATCTGTGGAGGAATATGCTCAAAGTGACCTATTGGGTCTTCAACCACTTTTCTTTTCCCTCTAAAATACATCATATTAGCTCTTTTTGTAGATGCTAAGCTGATTTGTATATATCTCAATCAATCCTGACGTATCACGCACGAATATTGTGTCGCTAATATCTCAGATGACGTTCACCAGTTACTAAGTTTGTTTTAAACTATCCAAAACATAAGAAACCTATCATGAAAACATCACTGATCTGCTTTGAGTTTCACGTTTTATCGATTCTTTACTATAAATTCCTTGATATTAGCGGAGGCCTGCCAAGCAATTTATGAACTCCTTACTCTCCATCGCTCATTTATAGTTCACCCGAGAAACAAATGTCTGGAATGCAAACAATGGGGAGCACCTCCGCATGTCCCCCACCGAGTGACGTCACAACACGGGGGGTATGACAACGAGGCGGCAGTAATAGGGGCCACAGTTTCGAAGGCTGTATAATCGTACGTAATTGTTGTAAACAAGGGCCGTCTATTCCAGCCATATTAGAACGGTTTATTGACATCACCGTCGTAGGGCAAACATAGAGCCCGTGGATGCGGAAATAATTTCCTAAACAAATAGGACTTTGTGAGTGAATTGCAATATGCAGTTATGACTATATCAGAAGGAAATTGGAGAGTTAATATGACTGCGATACGGGCATGACGACCGTACCACAGATGACGTATCGTACATGGTCGATATTAAACACTTAGAGGTGTAAATCAACAGGTATTACGATCTGATTAGCCAGATTACATTTTACCTTTGATCCACTTTCACTTTGTTCAGGTAACCGAGTGTTTGTGGTCAGTAGATAATTTGCTTTCGTCAGTAAGAATTGTATACTTCTTAAGGTATTTGGTTATTGCCTATTCTTCGTTGGTAAGAAATGGATACTTCATCAGGTATGTGGTTACTGTGTGGTTATTTGACGTTTGTGAAGAGGGAACATTACCTTTACTTCCATTGGCGCACAATGTAGCGAGTGAAAAGAAAATGCATTATTAATTTGTTTAGTATCATTATAACAGGTTGCCTTTTGAGTACGAGTAACAATAAGGTAGTGTATTTGATGGCAGACGATCGTGTGTACTAAATGTCATGGTTCAGCGATATTTGATTGACGCTTAATAATGTTTGTCAATTAAACGATAATGTACCTCTACTTTAAGATTATTGCCATTCGTGTATGCTGTTTGTACTCAGCATTAATCTATTCACCGGGTACTTTCAATTATAACTTGTCCTTACAAGAGGTATTTGCCGTTGATCACATATCTTACGAGTATGAAACACGAATGTGTCTATGTTTGAGAATGCAAATTTTAATGAAGTGTATGAAGAATGAATATTATATAGTTTATCATTATATATGTTGACGAATTCTAGCATACAACTTCTTTAAAAGGAAAATGTATTTTTTAGGACTTCAAATATTAAAATATGTCGAGCTGAATTGTTTGTCTGACTTATCTATCTGTCTTTATCAAAACATAATAACAAATTTATTATATTTTACATGGAGCTACTATCGAATCATTCGACAAAACAATATTAATTAAATCCAACATCTTCAAATCGCAATCAACTGATCGGTGCATGAGAGGAAAGCAATCAAACACACCTGTGTGAGGGAAAGTGAGTGGTTAATACATTGGAAGTCGGGAACTTGGCTGTAATAGCTTTTTCTGAATCCCGATATAAAGGTACATTCTAACTGTCGTTTAGAAATCTTACAGTTCAACACGTCAGACTTGTCGTTTAAATATCTTAGTGTACAACACGTGCGGTCAGACTTGTCGTTTAAATATCTTACTGTACAACAAGTTCAGTCAGACTACTGTAAACCATGAGAACCGGCAAAGAACAACATTTCTATCAACGGTTTACAAGCGTACGCATATTAGTCTGTGTACTCAGAACACTTGTCTGAAATTCTATTATACATGTTCCATAGTACGTACTACCTTCCTTGGTGATCTACTACCACATCATGATAGAAAGGCAATCTTGCCACTGCTACACGATGAAAACACTGTTATCTTTTATATTATAGTTCAGTCAATTACGGTGACCTTAACAATACACGAGTACCCGACCACTTAATCTACGACATCCAGTTAACTGAAAAAACTCACTTATCAAGTTCATTTCATTTCAAAACATTTCATGAAATCAATTAGATTTAATGGGAATTTGACGACAGGATAAGCCTATCCAATCTCTCTCCCTGGAGGTACATTTCAAACAATAGCAGATGATAAACTATGAATATTTACTTTGATTTGGATCATACGGAATAAAACTGGAGGCAAGTTAGCTAGTATTCATTTAGCATGCAAGTAATACTTAAATATTCAAACAGTATTCCACTTTGTTTAGGTATGTACATGCATGTACACTTATAACTAGATTATTAAGCATAAAAAAGTTACAAGGATTTAATATTACCAACTTACCAAGTTGAGTTGTTTTGCAGACGCCATGGTTGAGGATCCTCGTTATAAGCAGCTTCTATCACGAAAGTTTTCCTATCCTGTCCCGTTTATACGAAGATTGCTGGTGCCAACGAGTTATCTGAAAAAGACAACATTAACACATATAGCAGTACAGCAGGGTAAACTGTGTGCAAGTAAGTTTAAATTGTTTCCAGCATTACTACCTTTTAACTTTGAAGAAATTCGGTTCACAAGAAAATAAAATTAACAAAACTGAAACATGGCTACAAGCATTGGTAAATTATCCAAACTAGCATGTACATAGGAGAATTTGTTACCCACTCTTCAATGTCCGACCCTGTACAGAGTCTATAAAGAATTTCATAAATTAATAGTTTGTATTATACAGTAGTGGAACCCCAGTACTTCTTATCGTGACTTGATTGGCAAACGCAAATTTCTTTGCCGCAGAAATATGCTTAATTCATTTCGACAGAAGGTTATAAGATGTGATTCTATCTTGTATGAATCTATACGATTTAATTATACAGAAACGGGCCTCATCGTTGTTGTACATATTACTAAAATGGTTAGGCATAAACTGAATAACTATTTAATGATGGGATTAAACACACAGGAACTGATAAACAAAGAGATCATCATCAAACCCCATTTGAATTAACGTGACTTGTGGTCTAATGTATTTATTTATATACCTTACAAACGTCAGTTGGTGTAAAGAAACAGATATCTGGGTGTACGGGTGACCTCTCTACTCTACCCGATATTGTTTTATGTCGAATGTATTAAGCACTCAGTACAGTTTAGTACGAAAAGTGTCTCAAAATATCTAAATTGAATATATACATACAATTTTGTATACAAAGCACATCTGTATATACTTATAGATAACAAAAAATAGGTATTTTGATTCATAAATATAATTGACGATAAAGAAATTTCCCAAAATATTTATTAAGAGAAGGGGTTATTTCAATAGGTCATTCGATACTGTGTTAATCCATGTGGATTCCAATGTATAGGCCTTGTTAGGTATTTATGGACCCTCTTCATTGACCTGTAATCGTTTTTATAACGATATTGATATGAAGGTGATAAATCTAATCAGCTGAGATAAAACGGTATATATATTTACTCCGTGGACCATCGCCGGCTATCGAAACATATAACATAATCGTTTCCCATAAAAGATTGCTATTTATTGAGTGAAACAGGTTAAGTCTACTTTATCACGCATTACTGCTGTAGTAAATGTACGGCTTATGGGTGGACGTGTATGTCAATGGCGATCTTGTTAAATGTGAGATGATTTATTAAATAAATTCAAAGCATTTAATTAGAAAGAAAAAATATTGTATTCATATTCATAAACATATATTTTAGTGAAAGTCAAACACATAACGACGTTTAAATCAACCAGATAAATATATCTAAATCAAGGTGAATTATATATAAGTCAAGCTGATTAATATATCTAACTCAAACAGATAAATTAAGTTAACTCAAACTGATCAAATATTTAACTCTACCCGATATTTCATATATTTAACTCAGATAAATCCATATCACTTAAACTGATAATATATTTATATATAATTCATAAATATATTTAACTCACACTGATAACCGAATTCAACTCAAACTGATCATTTAACTCAGATAAATTCATTTCACTTTAACTGATAAATATATTTAACTCAAACTAATAAATATGTCTAACTCAAACTGATTATATATCTAATTTAAACAGATAAATTAATTTCACTTAAACTAATAAATATGCCTTACTCAAACTAGTAAATTAATTCAATTCAAAAATGATAAGTATATCTTACGCAAACAGTTATGAATATCTTATACAAACTACTACAGATAAGGGTATATGTCTATCCTTTGATTTCGCCTTGTTTGTTAAGTTATCAAAAGTACTGAAATGACACATTGAAAAGTTTATTGGACCATATATCTACCATCTTACAATGTACGTACATGAAGTTAGACTCGTGAACCACTGATTATACATCGTCATCGTCTCTGAGTATTTGTGTTAATTATAGAGAATCAGATCGCCAGGTAGTCGTCGTCTAATACAGTACAGGTAATAACACTGACAGTGATATAAAACACCTGAACTCACTACAAATACATTAGGGGTTTAATTCATTCTATAACATTACATACAATGTACAAGGTGTTTAATCATAGTTCAAATACACTGAAGGTTTTACAGTAATTAATGATAAAAAAAACTTTGGTTCTTTTAAACATTGACAGTTTCTTACGATTTCAATAATATTTCATATGATTTACCATAACAAATATCAATCAGTATAAAGAACCATATGGTGTATACAATACACCCTCATTATCTCGAATGTATTCGACTTTGAAATAACGTGTAAATTATTCGACTTCTTGATGACGAGGGTATTAAATTTCGAAATAACCAGTGTAAGCGACTTTTCGATAATGACTTTCTTCGACTTTGAGATATCGAGTGTGTTCGATCTTCTGATGACGCTCGTATTTGATTTTCCAATGACGAGTGTATTAGACATCCAGATGACAAGCATATTCGCCTTTGAGATAACCAGAGCATTTGTTTTGGTGACAACCATTGTATTCGACTTTAGATGGCGAGTGTATTACACTCTGAAATAATAAATTGAATTTAATCGACTTTCAGATGGCAAGTGTTGGATTATGAAATGCCGCGGGTATTTGACTTTGAGATAACGAGTGTATTCGAAATATTACAAGGTTCATTTGTAAACATAAAGGATACAATGATATTAGCAATTTAACAGGAAGACGGCGTCC